TGCACGTATGGGCTGGATGCGGTTGTGGTGTCGAGGGATGGTGTAGAAGCTTCTTACCAAATTTGCAGATGAGGTCGTGGTGATGGTCAGTGAGTCGAAAGGGTCAGTGTGTTGAGCGCTTCTTGATATGTGGAGTAGGAAGGGAGAGAATAATCTTGCATGCCCTCTTTTGCACTTTTTCTAGTGTTTACGTTGTGTGGCATTTAGGAGGGAAGACCAGGTGGGGGAGGCATAGGTGAGCTTGGGAAGTATGAATGTTGTGTAAACACTGAGGAGCTCGGGTGCAGGAACTCCGAGGGACTTGAGTCGGCGGAGGAGGTGGAGACGGAAACTGGAGGATTTGACAACTTCACTGACGTGTGGTTTCCAATTTAGTTTGTTGTCTATGGTGACGCCGAGGAGCTTCGTGGAATCTACAACCTGTAACAAAGCGTGTTCGGCATTCGGGCCTTCGTTGTTGAGCGGCAGAAATTGGACAGTGATTACATAAGATCATCAAGATCGTCTGAGTGATATGAAAGTGTAAATCGATGTAGGATTTTTAATGCTAGACGCGATTGTATTTCTGAAGACTCAATCTCCACCGAGTTGGAGATACAGCCCAGGTCAAGAGGCCTACAACCACAAAATCATTGCCATATGACAAAGCTTTGATTTTATTTTTTTTTTACGGAGTTGTGGTCACGGCTGTGATAAAAGCCAACCAGGGAGTGTAGTACTGTGCCTTTAGTTAAATCAGTTCATAGTGTCATCAGTGACTGCGGAAGAGGTTGTAAATAACTTAAAGTGAATACAAATTGGCAAGCAAGCTGGAAAGGCACCACTGCCAGCTGAAACCAAGCCGTGTTATAGGTGCCACAGAGACTTTAAATTGTGCCTACTAAACACCATTCACAGGGAGATACAACAGTAGACACAGTGATAGCACAAAGAGATATAGTCGTCCATGAGAACAGGAAAAGAAAGTATAAGGAAATACTAGTTAAAATACAAAATAAATAAAATCAACAAGCTTGGCTATCCTTAAAGGCATTCTAGTCGAGTGTCCTTACTTGGAGCTGGCGGACGCTCGCCCAACAAAGGGTCACAGCTCAAGTTTGAAGAAGCCGCAAGTCCAGAAAACTGTGAGGGCAAACTTTTTCGGAGTGAGAGTTGTGAAACCTTGGAACAATCTACCAGAAAGTGTTGTGACGGTACCGAGTGTGAGCTCTTTCAAGACCAGACTTGACCAACACTGGAACAGGTTCAGGTACATTCTGGAGCCAGTGCATGCCCAGTACTTGCCACCAGTGCGTAACAGGGTCGTGACCGATCGCCCAAGCGGCTAACGAGCCGATCGGTGGTGAAGAGGATAAAAGTAAAAGTAAAAGTAACAATTTAGTTGCTGGAATCACCTTCTTCTCACAATAGCCCGATAACTTCAATTCATAGTAAACATATGCACTTAGGTTCTTTTCGCATTCAGTCACAATTAATGCAGTTTCTTCGTCCCATTTGGATATTATATATGATACTCCTCCTTACCGTTGGTACGTCCCAGGTGCATCCTCTTACACTTTGTGACATTAAATCTCAGCACCTATTTCTAACAGAAATCTTTCTGCAGCTCTTCACAGTCTGTTTGGTTCTTGATATATCTAAATAACTTGGCATTGTCCGCAAATATTTGTATGGGGGAGTGAATAGCTTTTGGCATGTCATTTACGAAACAAATGAACAACAACGGGCCCAATACATTGCCCTGTGGTACCCCGCTTGTCAAGGGTACACATTACGATTTCGTACCATTAATCACCACACACTGCTTGCGATTATGTATAAATTCTCCGATCTACGCAAGCACACTACCCCGAATCGGGTACACTTCTTGTTTAACTTTAAGCCTTTCATGGGGTACAGTGTCGAAAACCTTGGCAAACTCAGGTATACAGTATATTGTCGATATTGCCACCCTTTTCCAGAATTGGGGTTCAAACATCCAGTACCTTGAGTAATTGTGTTACACAGAAATGTTCCAGCATAAAACTATGTTGGCACGCTTTTACAATGTTGTATCGTAGTAGATGTTCCATAATGGCATCTCTTATAATGCTCTCAAGTACTTTACACACTATGCTGGTCATGCTCACTGGTCTATAATTATTCGTGGAGTGACGATCGTTCTTTTTGAAAACAGGACTCATATAAATCATTTTCCAGTCACTGGGGACATTTTACTCATCCAGGCATCTCCAGAACAGGATTTTCAGGGGTTCAGCAAGCTCGTTGCACAACACTCTCAGCACTCTGGGATGCACCATGTCAGGGCTGAGACTCTTATGAGCCTTTAGCTTTGACAATTTATTTCTTATAACCTCTTCTGAGAACATAATCTGGGTCAGCGCTGTGTCAATTTGTCAGTCCTCAAACACAGGAAGATTGTTCGCAACCTCTCTTGTGAACACCGAAGAAAAGAAACTGTTCAATGCCTCCGCCTTATCCTGGTCAGAATCTGCTTAACTACCATCTTCAAGCCTGAGGTCCGATACACCTATCGTGTTTTTAATTTCGACTTTACGTAGAGGTAAAACGCCTTCAGGTTTGACTTGACCTCGCTCACAATCCGCCTCTGGAACTCTTTTTCGACACTTTTACACTCTGGCTTTGATTGGATCCTGGATCTGGCATACATCATTTGTCCTAACCCACGTCTCGAATTTCTGAGTTTTCTTCTTAACTTTATGGACCGACCCATGGTTCATGTATAATGGTCCCCTTGCATTCCTGGAGGTACTGGGTTTGATCTTGGGTATATATTTATCGATCAAATGGTTCACTTTACTGGCTATGATATTCAGTGTAGTGTCTGCGTTCTTATACCTTAGTGAGTCAGGCCAGTGGATACCCCTCATCTCCTCCCTCAGTGGAGTCTCTCGCTCACACAGATGGCGAGTCACACTCTGGGGATTCGGTGACCTCTTCCCTACAGAGTTGTGCATGATGGTCTGGGCCAGTGATAACACTATATTCTTTGAGGAAGCAGGAGGGATATCGACATCAATACCAGGGCCATCTAACAGTATATGTAGGAAAAAGCTCAGTGTGGGAACAACGGAGTCAGCTTCTAAGGTGCTTGATAAAGAGCCTGAAAACACCTGCCTTTTCCCTAGGATATCTTGTAGCAGAATCTTAACTGCCTGTGCCAAAATTCTCATGTCTGTTGAGGTGGTGTCCTTCATCTCCTCAACTACTTGAATGAGATCTTCATTAAACACTAGCTACCAGCAGCCAGATGACTTTTCTATCACCTTAATGTCAGGGACCATGCTGACAATATCTTGGCGAAGTCGAGTTGTATGACCATGACTATGGGGCAACCAAGAGATACGCGACGCTTATCATAAAGTACCAGATCCACGGTGGTCCTCAGTATAATCAAGAAGCTCTTTGAAAGCTTGAGCTTTTATTACTTTAGCAGCATAGCTTTCATTTGAATCCCGATCAACTGCAACTGCCTTTCTATAAAGTCTACTCAGGCATGCACAGTGGTACACAGCATCTATCGCAATCATGTCTCCTTTTGACAGTTTGCCCTGAAGTTTTACATCACCAATTTTCCTTGCAGCATCAATCACTCTCTGGTTTAGGTCAAGAGTGGAAACATTTCTCAAGTCCTTCTTGTCTCCAGACTCTTCACAAAAGAAGCATTTTGTTGGAGAAGAGTCCTTGCCTTCAGTTGATGTAATCTGAGACCCCTGTGTGACATAAACTCTGCCAGAGCTCATCTGCCGTGTTCTCATTGGGCTTCCTTGATGCTTACTCCTCCTCTCTATCTAAATCTTAGCCCACTCCACCTTCTGTTTGTTGATGGCACTTCTGCAATTTTTGTGCCACACTGCATGGTTAGTTTCATCTAATATACTAAGGACTAGGCGTGTGTGTGTGTGTGTGTGTGTGTGTGTGTGTGTGTGTGTGTGTGTGTCTGCTCTGGGCAGCCGAAACGGCACAATCGTTTTTCATCAAACTTGGTGGAAAAATCGCAAAAAATTCGTAGAGTGGAACAAACCTGGTCCCATATCGATGGTTTCTTTAGGAAGCCATTACATAACCATTTTATTTACGCTGGAAAACGATGCAAGTCTACGGACTTGGCGCACCCTCATTCGCTGTACACTGTCAGCCCACGATTGCAGTTATGGTACAGCTCCCTCCTCCCCCCCCCACTTTTTTTCTTAGCCTACTTTTTTTTAATGTTGTTTGTTTTGGTAAAGGAAGGAAGATGAGTAAATAGAAGAATAAATATAGAAGGGGAAACAGAAAATAGTTAGAGATAACAGGTGGGGAGGAGCTGAGTTTCATCATGCGTCTGGATGCGTAGTTTCAACGTTACCAGACGACCTTACAGCTACAGTGTATACTTATTCCTGTGGCTCATGGAAAAGGAGAAGAGATAAAAAGATAAAAACAGGAATTCATGGAGAAGATGACTACAATAGACACAGGGTGAATATAGACAGTGACGCCGAACCCTTCGTTATGAAGGGCAATGATAGCTCCTCGTGTTCTCTCTGAGGTTTCCATGTCGTCTGGCATGTGTAGATCTCTACTGTTTCATATTGCCTCTGTTTTATACCCACGTTCACCGAGACCGAACCCTCGTTCATCATTCAGTCGACACAAAGCAACAATCCGAAAAGAAGAAACAAACACACTGATTGTCAGCCATATGGCAACACCTAGTGGAGGGGGGGTGGGGGTTATGAGGGTACAGTTACCAACCTTCCCGATATATCACAGTGTATACGTACTGTTTCGGAACGCGTCGATCTCACCCTGCAACGATACTTTTTGGTGCGAGTGTACATGGATTGATACAGTTACTCTGTTTCTTGGCAGCCTGTATTCTCTATAGTATTTTGGAATAATACTGTGAAGTATTTCAGCTTTATTCGTGAGTATTTTGTGAATATGATCATATGTATTCAGCATAAACGCTTGTAACCCTTCATAAATTCCCACAGAGGGAGCCACCGTGCGAGGTTTACACCGTCAGAGGCGTTCCATTGGCCAGTTCGGAGACATGATCCGCTTCTCCACGCGCCGAGAGGCTCTCCTCTACAACAACTACGGCAACCACTGTGGCTTCCAGGGCGGCGACCTACCAGTGCTAGATGAAGTTGACAGGTGAGCATTGCTTGTCAGGTGACCAGATGGGTGAGCTGATTCAGAGGGCCAGATGGGTGAGCTGATTCAAATGGCCAGGTGAGTGAGCTGATTCTGATGGCCAGGTGGATGAGCTGATTTGGATGGCCAGGTGGATGAGCTGATTCAGAGGGCCAGGTGGGTAAGTTGAATATATGGCTTTAATTTGTGTCTTCCACAGCTGACTCAAAGTGTCTGCCCTGGTCCGTATGCAACTCATGGGGCACACCAAACCGACAGAAGAACTGGTCAACCAGCACCCTGGTAAGAGTAGTGGCTTCCTGATTTAGGATGGCATATGCTTCTGGCCATTTAGTGAAGTAATCCATGGCCACACAAATGTAGCTATTCACATCTGCAGTGAATAGCAGAGGTCCCTCAGTATCCACTGCAACCCTCTCCATTGGTGCGCCTGCATGGTACAACTGCAGTGGGACACACGCATGTAGCTTTGGTCCCTTCTTGGTGCAGCAGACATCGCATGAACGGCACCATTCTTCTACATCCTTACGCATGCCAACCCAGCAAAACCTTTGCTGCAGGCAACTCAGGGTCTTCTTCACTCCCAGATGTCCACTGGCTGGATTCTTGTGCATCTCTGTTAGGATCTCTGACCTCATCTTCAGGGGAGGCACTGTCTGCCAGTACCTGTTAAGGCCATCGGTAGTCACCAACTGAGCCCAGTAGTTTTTAATTAGAGGACTTGCTCCAGAGATCATCTTCCATGCTGACCGCACTGAGCTCTGTCTCATCCACTCGACCACTGGTCACAGGTCTTCGTCTTCCAGCTGCAACTTCTCAAGGTCTTCCCCAGCAATGGCTGGACCCTCCACTGTAGTGTGACTACACATCTTTGAAAGTGCCTCTCTCCGGCAACACTGCTGACAATCAGAATCACAAGGTCATTAGCTCAGACTGTCAGCATTCCCATGTATTTGCCCAGGCCTGTACTGGATGGTATAATTGTGCTGATCTAGCTTCCCAATCCACCTTGCTAGTTATCCTTCCTGATTCTTCAGGGTCTTAAGCCACCTCAGTGCTGCATGGTCAGTCCGAATGGTGAAGCTAGATCCATGCAGGTAGGAATGGAAAAAGTCTAACCTCTTTACTACAGCCAAGAGTTCCTTCCTGGTCACACAATAATTTCTTTCTGGGGAGCTTAACATCTTGCTGCAGTATGCCACTACGTACTCGGTGTCATCCTTCTTCTGGGACAGCACCCCTCCAATGCTATCATCACTGGCATCACAGTCCAAGATGAATGGTTGAGTTGGGTACAGATACGGGAGCACCGGGGAGCTGACCAAGGCATCCTTTGGTTGTTTGAAGTATCCTTGACTCTCAGTAGTGCACACAAACTTCTGCCCCTTCTTAGTCAGCTTGTGCAACGGTGCTGCGACCATGGTGAAGTTCTTAACAAACTGACAGTAGTAGGCACAAAGACCAAGGAAACTACGCAGCTCCTTTATACAAGTTAGCAATGGCCAACTTCTCACCAATACCACCTTCTCTGGGTCTGTGCGTAGTCCGTCTTTACATATTTTAGTGAGATGAGTTTGCTAGTGCACTTGCTATTCGATCTCATTAGATATCACTACAGGTGGGAACCTAGGAAGTAACAGGGCCAAATTTTAACACATCTAGACTAAACTAGGCTGCAACTAGCAGTTGAAGAAAACGGGAATCTTAAGAGAATGGGTAACTGAGCAGAAGGGCTCCATACTGCCTGTGTCATGCTATGGCATACCTGACTTTGTTTCACAGGTCATTCCTTTCTGCCCTCCTGTGGTAGTTAGACGTGCCAGACTCTTTTCCTGCTTCAGCTTCATCTCGCATTATGTTTAGTGTCTAATGTCTTTCCATACCCTCTGTGCTTTTTTACACAGGAGGGGGAGTGTTGTTTTTCTAGGTTCGGGTTGGTGCCCTCCTGGCTTCAACCATTTTCAGGCTTTCTGTTTTTCACTGTTTACGTGTTGAGGCCCCCTCCCCCTTTTCTACACGTGTGGGGTTTCACGCCAAGGGCGTCCCTTCGCTGGTTGTTTTTTCCCTCGTTCCCCACCCTGGAGTTCGAATTTTCCCATGTGAGTGGCCCTCCTCATGTGCGGGTTGCAGTCACCTATCCCTCCTTCCCGTGCCTTGTAGCCACATGCTGTAGTTTCAGAGCTTGTGCCCCTCCTTCCTCTTCGACCTTTTTTGGGGTTGTGCCTTTGGGCTTCCCCCCTTTCCCTTTACTTAATTGTTTATTTTGTTTGTCTCGCCTGTCTCTCACTCCGAGTCCGTTTTCTTTTCTGTGCTTCTGTTCCGAGTTGAAGTGCGGAGAGGCGTCGTTTGCCCTCACTTCTCCCCGCTTTATTTTCTGCCACCGTTTGTTCTTTCCTCGCCCTGACACCACGCAGTGTCTGTTCTCTGTGTCGTTGTCTGTCTCGCGGAGGTTGCTCGGATAGGCTTCGCATTTCCCACCCTACATTTTCATTCTCCATTTCCCTCTGTTTGTGTTTTCTCTCGTCCAGGCCCATGTACCAAGTCGTTACTCAGTTTCGTTGTCTGGCTCGGGTTTTGTGGCATGGAGAGGCATCTGAAGTCCCGCCCTCCTCCCTCCTCCATTGTTTTATTTCTCCTGTTTTTTTTCCTCGTCCTGACCACACGCTGAGTCTGTACTCTGTTGCAATGTCGAGCTCTTATTGCTCAGACTATGTTCTCGGACAGGTGGCGGCCGTTCATTTAGGTCGAGTTCGGGTGGAGCAGGTGTGTGGGAGGGGGTTCTATATCCCCTCTCCCCTCCTTCCTCCTCCTCCACATCTCTCCCTTTTCGTGTTCAATTTATACCCTGGTTCGCCGGCGTCTCTTTTTTGCCAGAGTTGCTCACCATCGCCCTCCCCCCAGCCCCAGAAGGTGCCCTGCCGACAATTTCGACCCGAGTCGCTGTACGGTGTGCTCTGAGTGGGTGGCGGTGCTTCTTCGCAACTGCAACAGAGATGTTGACACCCCCCTTGCCCATCCGGGAGTCAAGTGCTCACTCCTACTCCAGTCGCCACCGTCAATTCTCCGGGAGTCCCGCTAAGTCCTCCTCCCACAGGCACCACTGCCCCAGGTCGCCTAAGGACAGCGGCCGCAAGGGGAAGCGGGCTCACAAGGAGGAAGCGGCGGTCCTTACCCCCTCTGAACCTTCACCTTTACCAGCCCTCGCCAGGTGGCTCGACTAGGGCGGACCCTTCTCCCCTGCCGCCCTCCTATGGCTCCTCCTCCCCCCCTCCCTCCACGGACCAGGCGACCTTCCACAGTCTATTATGATTTTGCTAAAAGGTTCTTCAACTACTGTAACTGACTTTAATGGCGCAGGCTTAATGGTCTGATTTGGTTTTCCTGCTAGTTAACATGCATGACAAGTTCTACAATATTTACCTACATCACGATTTCACTTTGGCAAATAGAAATTTTGAACGATTTTGTGATAGGTCTTATTTACTCCAAGAAGACCACCACAATAGTCATGTGGAAGGGCTAATATAGTTGATATAAGTATTTCTAAGTTGATCTGATGTGTTTCTGACCAAACTTCATTGGAGGGAACATTACCAGGTCTGTATTTGCGCATTAGAATACCTGACTGAAGTTATAGCAAGTCGGGAGTTTATATATGCATGGGGGGATCCAGGTGGTCCTGGGGGTCCGAACCCCCTGTTCACCAGAAAATTCTAGTACTTTTTCTTTAATGCAGTATTGTACTCAGACATTTTTGTATAGTAAAATGTATTAACTATTAACTTCAGAATATCTCCTAATATCAAGTGAGCATACTGCAAAATTACCTCAAAGTGGTCTCAAAATGCTGGATGGGCTCGCTGCGCTCGCCATGTTCCCCCACCCACGACTTCTTGAACCCCCCTTTTGATATTCCTGGATCCGCCCTGATATGTCCGATTCGTCTACAGTTTTGTCGTAGAGAGTGCGGAGCTCAATATCTTCCATTTGAGCTTTAATCAGTGCATCAGTACTGATTGGAAAGTTATTATTAAGTGTATCTAAACTTGTAGGGTCTGTAGTTTGATCACTGTTATGATTGGCACTGTACAAATCATTAAAATGTAAATCATCTAAATCATCAAAACCATCAAGGGAATAAATTTGATTTTTGTTCATGCTTCTGGTGACTGCACAATCAGGAAATAAATTAGGAAGTTTCTCTTCTAACTGTTCTGTGGGATCATAGGAGACACTACTGGTTGTGTTACCACTTTAGAACCAGCAAGGTCATTTCCTAACAAAAATGTAACTCCGGAACTGGAAGAGAGTCTTTAACACCAATAGTGACATAGCCTGAAACCAAATCTGACCTTAGAAAAACCTTAACAAGGGTAATAGCAGTAATTCCACCCACACCCTCAACGAGTACACTTTGACCAGTAAGGACATCATTCAAACAAGGAACAATGATGCTAACAGAAGCTGCAGTGTCTAAGAATTTGTACAGGGTTCTGTGCAGAAGTTTCATTAAAAGAAATAGACCCCTGAAAAATAAATGGTTTAAAAGTGTCGGCTTTACTAGGTTTGTTAGACTTGAAGTCAGACTTGAAGTCAACAAGTAAAGAAATCACCACACTGGTTTTGTCCTCTCTGGTTTTCCTTTTGAACTAATTTGAAACAATTTTGAATCTTATGGTCGCTAATTTTATAGTAACAGCAAAACTTAACAAGTTCATTTAATTCAGTTTTACCAGATGAATCAACCTAAAACTCAGGATTACTAGATGTAGACTAAGACTTCAGGGAGTCGAAAGACCCAGACGACTTACCAAGCCGACTAAAGAAACTTGGGGCCGTGCATACTTCCTATTGGTGGTGTCTGGTGTGTTTGTGTCGAGGGTTTAGATGTTAACGCCCTCTGGTTCTTTTAAAGATTACTGTTAGATGGAACACTTCCGCTTTCACCAAGGCATAACAGTTGTTAATATCCACAATTCACAGACTGACGCTAGGTAGAT